TTTTTTTTTTTTTTTTTTTTTTCCCCTTCCATGTCTCACTGTTACATACTCGTGAATACTTCAACGAGTATGGGGCAGAACCAAAGATCAACCAAAATATAGGATGAGCATGTATGCAGCGGAAGTCTGATAGATGGACTGACTCACATAGACTGACTCACATAGACTGACTCACACAGATATCACTCCACACACAAACAATCGTGAGAGGGTGGGGTCTGAGCCATTCATAGACGATGCTCAGGCCCCGTACACGCATACACAGATGAAGGTGGGAGGAGAGACGAAGGAGGTGGGAGATGTAGGTAGCGCCAGATGTCACCGAGATAGAATCCAGTAGGTCACCGATATGGTAGTCCAAAATATCATCGAACAAGATCAAATGTCGTGGACAATAAGTCACCAATGTCGGAGATACAGAGTCCTAATGTAACCGGTGTCCAATCTGTGATGCAGCCGGTATCATCCCCAACAATCTCCAAGTCTCGAATCCGGTAAGTACCACAGCCTCTTACCATCGAAATCCAACACTGATCTCTGTCCAACTAGTATCGAGTCTCCAGTCTGAAGAAGAAGAAGATGAAGATGAAGTCTGAAGAAGAAGAAGAAGAAGAAGAAGAAGAAGAAGAAGAAGAAGAAGAAGAAGAAGAAGAGATTGCAGAGGAGGAGGAGGAGAGGAGGGGAGAGCCGGTAGCCGTGGAGGGAGGAGAAGATCTCCTCGCCTCCTGGTACCTGACTTGCTGTAGTCCGACTGYGGGTCGCGGCTATGGCCGCCGTACTGCCGAGGACTGCTGCCCAGCTCCTTGCTYGTCGCTGCTGCTRCGCTAGCTYGCGCTGCTGCTGCTGCTCCTGCGCKAAGAATAGCGCTGCTGCCTCAACCGATACGCACTGGCGCTGATGCAGCATGCCAGTGGCTCGATGCCTCAGAATGAGGCCGGACCGGTTAGTACCGGTGGGCAGGAGGCCGGCCTCAATGCTGCGAGGCCTGTCCATGACCTGAACCGTCGAGATCGTCGGTTCAGATCACACCGGCGGGCGGCAGCATCAAGAGCGCCAATAGGCCCAAATGGTAATGTCGTTTGGGCCTGCCCGTCGGGTCTGCTCCAAAGATGTGGCCTTTCGGCCTGCTGTACCCCAAGTCTGGGCCTTTAGGCCCTGCTGTGTCCATCTGGCCCTAAGTCGGGTCCGGTAGGACCCGTGTGGCGTCGAAGATGTAACACACTCCCCCTCTTAAAAGACCCAGCTACCTGCGCGGGCGGAGTTGTCTGTCCGATACCAGGGGGGTCGGGCGGGACGAGCTGCTTCCTTGGCAAGGCGTCGCTCCTCATAGTCGGCGAAGATAAGGGGTGCAGAAGTCTGCAAGTCTGCACTAGAGATCCGAGTGTCGTCAGGCGCAAATTGCTTGAATGTGACTTTGAACTGCATTGGCTTGTTGCCATACTTGTGGTGTGTGATGACTCGGTCCACTTCCTGATGTCCGTCCATAGAAGGCGGATGCTGTGATCGACGACCGGGAAACTCGTTGGCGGAAGGTGGCGTGTAGATGGCCAGCTTCGACGCGTGGAAGACCCGGTGCATTGGAAGGTGCGGAGGAATGTTGACCACAAAGGAAGGACCTACGGGGTCGTCTCCAACGGCAGAAGTGACTTCCCATGGTCCGAACCATTTCGGAAGGAGTTTGCGCGAAACGTCCTGCTCGAGCGCAAATTCCTCGGAGAGTACCCAAGCACGGTCTCCCTCGCGGAAAGGACATGGAAGTCGACGTCGGTTAGCTTACTGCTGCATGCGGATTTGAGCCTTTTGCATATTCGTGCGGGCTTTGATCAGCAAGTCCCGCTACTTCCGAACGGAAGCGGGAGAGCAAGGGACGTCTATGTCGGCGGCCTATGGCAGAAGGAGATTAGCGAAGATCCGTGCTTTCTCTCCACCATGATGACGCTCGAATGGTGTGACGCAGATCGCCAGGTGCACCGAAGTAAAAGAGGGCGAACTCAATGTCCGGAAGTCGATCAACCCAATCTTTCTGGTCGGGACGGATGAGCGTACGCAATCATCTAAGCTGTCTGGTGTGCTCTCCGTCTGGCCATCCGTTTGCGGGTGCCGAGCCGAGCTCGGCTTCATTGTCGTGCCGGACTCAGCCATAAGGGAAGTCCAAAAGGCCGACATGAAGCGAGTATCTCGGTCGCTCACTATGTCTTCCGGAACACCTTGGTTGGTAATCCAACCGGTGTGCAAGAGTCGTGCGAGCTCAGGCGCTGCAGCATGATACTTCCAAGGAAGGAAGCGAGCATACTTGCTCAAACGGTCAACGAYCGTGAGAATACCGTCATGGCCAAGGCGATCGCGGGGTAACGGGCCTGTCACGTCCATAGCACTGGAGAGGCGCGGTGCACGAGGAATCGGCAACGATTTCAGTTCGCCGAAGGGGACTCGAGATCGACCCTTGTTACGGTGGCAAACTGCACATCACTCAATGTACCTCGTGTCGTCATGAAGGACGTCGGGCCAGTGAAAACGCTGGCGGAGGCGTGCTAATGTGCGGTTTACGCCAAGGTGTGCCKAAAGTCGTGCGTCGTGGAATTCGCCGAGAAGACGAGTCCGTAAGATGCGATCTTGGGGCACAACTAACAAGTCCTTTCCTCTCGTGTGGAGAAGGAAACCGTCGGAAATCCGGTAATGGCTAGCCGGCGGGTGATCCGATGAAAGCTCCGCGTAAAGCCTAGAGTAAGTTGGATCGGACTTGTAGCCTTTGACGAAGTGCGGCTGCAGATCGTCATCGAGGTCGAATGTCGTGGTCAGAGGGCGTCCACAGCTCGATTGGCGGGACCGGGAATGTGGCACGGGTCAAAGTCGAACTGGTCGATGTAATACATCCATCGACCGATCGTGCTAGTGACCGTATCCTGCGTTTTATAAAAGGTCAACAGATTGTTGTCCGTATTCCATTTAAAACGCCGACGGCCGAGAAGAAAGTGGCGCCACCGTTTGAGAACGGTGACAAACACAAGTAGCTCTTTCTTCCTAGCGTCGTCTAGAGTGTTGACGAGGGGCACCTTTTGGGAGAAATACTCGACCGGATGCCAACCGTCCTCGTGACACTGTTCCAACACCGCACCAATACCGTATCCCAAAGTGTCCATAGTCACTTGGGTGGGAAGGGTGGGGTCGTATATACGGAGGGCAGGTGCGGCTTGCATCGCTGCCTTCAACGTAGTGAACGCGCCACGGGCTGCGTCGTCGAACTCGAAGGGCACCTTCGGGGACTGAAGTCTCGACAAAGGAGCGGCCACTTTCGAGTATGACTCGACGAATCGCTGATAATATCTAGCCAAACCCATGAAAGAGCGTACATCCGTCGTGCAACGGGGTTCCGGCCAATCCACGATGGCTTGGATCTTGTCCGCTAAAGAACGAAGGCCTTTCGGCGTAACATAGTGGCCCAAGTACTCAAGCTCCTGCTTGACGAACTCGCACTTGTCGAGGTTCGCTTTGTACTTGGCTAGTCGCAAACGATCCAAAACAACGCGAAGGTGTACGATGTGCTCGTCCAACGTCCTACTATAAACCAAGATATCATCAAGGTAGATGAGGACGCTGCGATCGAGCAAGTCGCAAAACTCAGTCGTCATTGCTGCTTGGAAAGTCGCGGGGGCATTGGTGAGGCCAAATGGTATGACAACCCACTCAAAGTGCCTGTACCGCGTTTTGAACGCGGTTTTGTACAGATCTTGAGGCTGGATTTCAATCTGGTAGTAACCTGACTTCAAGTCCAACTTCGAGAAGTACGTGGTGCCGCCTAACCGCTCAAGGAGATCATCAATCAGAGGGAGAGGGCCGGCGTTCTTTACGGTTTGTGCGTTAAGTTTGCGATAGTCGATGCATAACCGTAGATCCTTGTTCTTCTTCCGGACGAAGAGAACAGGGGCACCGTAAGGCGAACAACTAGGGCGAATCCAGCCCTTGTTGAGAAGGTCATCGAGTTGTGCGCGAAGCACCTCGAGTTCCTCTTCGCTCATGCGGTAAATACATCCACGCGGAGGGACGACACCAGCCTCGAGAGTGATCCCGTGACGTATGGGCCGATCCGAAACCGTTCCGGTGGGAGCCTCGAAGACGTCTCTATACTCATCCAAGAGGTGAGAAATGCGTGGGTCCGGCGGTGACGCGGCTGGTCCGTCCGGCGAGGGAAGAGCATGCAAGAATACAAGGCCCATTTCCTCGACGTCATTCCGAGCTATGGCGTCGCGAATTCTCGCAACGGAAACCACGTGACAAGCAATCGAAGTGTGAGGGGTCGTGACCGTACATGGGACTAACACTCCGTTCCGATCACGGATGTGAACGGTCCGGTCATGGAAGTTTACCGGATGATCGGCGCTACGCAACCAAGACATACCTAGCATCATGTCGAACTTGGTGTCGAGGATGTCAAAAGAAACCGGCTCACACGCAAGTGGCGCAAAGTAGACCGGAACGCCGTCAACGCATCGGTCAATTGACTTTTGCGTGCGGCCGTCCGCGAGTGTAACTTTCGTAGGTTGCGTCTTACTTCGAGCGCGCGGGCCAAAGCCGGCGCGGGCCATAAAAGCTTGGCTCATGAAGTTGCGAGACGCTCCGCAATCAATCAAGGCACTATTGGTTGCCTTTCCGATTTGAATGCGGATATAGAGCAAAGGAGCGTCGGTTTCGGCGTACCTTTGGGTGGCATACTCGCAGGCAATCTTCGCAAGATAGGAGCGGAGATCGACAACCGCTACCCGGTCGTCCGTCAACGGAGCTGGTACTGTAGTGTGCAAATAGGAGCGTAGATTTGCCATTAAGGCGTTGCAATGCGGCCTTGGCAAGGTTCCGATTGAGGGTAGAGGCATGCAAGCGAAGTCCTCTCTCGTGAGCGGGTCAAGCTCCTCAAGTCTTGACCACGCCGTCGAGTCCTCGGAAATCAGTGGCAAGCTGACCGGATTACTTGCCGACGGTGTACAAGCTGCGCATACGCAATCTAAGTGCACGTGGCTCGGCTGGTCTAATGGTGGTACCAGCTGGGCGGCATAATCCTCGTATGTGGCACAAGAATCAGCGACTAACGCATGCTCCCCGGTAGTGACATCGATTGCTAGCAAGGCAACCGGTTCCGGTGGAGTGAGGAGAGACGCCGCCTCTCTCCTTGCGCAACTCAGTTTCCCGAGTTCGTTGGACGGGGTACACGTGCCTTGCCTTTTTCGGGGCATTGTGCGGTCAAGTGAGTGACACCATTGCACCAAAGGCAATATCCGTACCGTTGACGAAGGTCATATACTTCCTTGGTTATCTTGTATGTCTTCCATGGTTGCTGCCCAGTTCCTGTCGATGTCGTCCGTCAACGGAGCTGGTACTGTAGTGTGCAAATAGGAGCGTAAATCTGCCATCAAGGCGTTGCAATGCGGCCTTGGCAAAGTTCCGGTCGAAGGTAGAGGCATCCAAGCGAAGTCCTCTCTCGTGAGCGGGTCAAGCTCCTCAAGTCTTGACCACGCCGTCGAGTCCTCGGAAATCAGTGGCGAACTGACCGGATCACTTGCCGACGGTGTACAGGCTGCGCATACGCTAGCTAAATGCACGTGGCTTGGCTGGTCTAATGGTGGTACCAGCTGGGCGGCATAATCCTCGTACGTAGCACGAGAATTAGCGACTACCGCATGCTCCCCGGTAGTGACATCAATTGCTAGCAAGGCAACTGGTTCCGGTGGAGTGAGGAGAGACGCCGCCTCTCTCCTTGCGCAACTCAGTTTTCCGAGTTCGTTGGACGAGGTACACGTGCCTTGCCCTTTTCGGGGCATTGTGCGGTCAAGTAAGTGACACCATTGCACCAAAGGCAATATTCGTACCGTTGACGAAGGTCATATACTTCCTTGGTTATCTTGTATGTCGTCCATGGTTGCTGCCCAGTTCCTGTCGATGTCGTCGCGTCTGTCGCCTTGTTCTTCCGAACTCTCTTGGGATGCTTCAGCGGGAGCGCCGCGACAGTTCCTCTCACTCGAGGATGCTGCTGCAGCGTGGAGATCAACTGATTCTTCAGAAATCACGACATTGTTATGTGTCAGTCGTTGGTAGCCCTGCTTAGCCACATAGTGCGGTTGGGACTGCTTTTCGTTGGCGGCCTTGTCGTCCGTTTGGATGACCAGGTTCGCACGATCCAGGATAGCCTGGAATGAGGCATAATCGTACTCGTTGCCGAGTGCGGTTCGCAGTCCTGCGCACGATCGCGAGAAGAACTCGGATCGTTGGTTTGTAAAGCTCAAATCGAAGCCTGGCGTGGTCACTATCTTCTGCCACTCAATCGTCCAGTCTCGAGTTGGCATACTTCCCTGTGAGCAAGTGTAGACCTCGTTCATGGCCGCCTTCACAACATTGAGGACCATGAATTGAGTGAACCACAGCTGTTCAAACTCCTCCCACGTGAGGTGTTTGTGAAGTTCGGCGATAGTGGTTCCCTTGTTAACTGCGAGGTGGTTCATCCACGCCTGCGCGCCTCCAATGAGTTGGAGGTATATTACCTTCATCATGTCTTCAGTTGGGACCTTGTGGCAGGACGCTTCGGTGAGGAAGGCTTGCCACCATATCAAAGCGTCGGTCTTGTTGTAGTCCTTGAACTTGCCGATGTTGAAGCCTGGCATCTTGTATGCCTTCGCAGCTGCTGCCGGTTGCGACCGCAGCTTGGTGATGTCCGTCTTGATGGCGGCCACCGTGCTGCTGATCATAGCTGGGCTGGTGAAATCCCCTAGTTCGCCGATTAGACTGACGACATGGTCGATGCGCTCGTTGAGCTGCTTCGCCGTGTCAGTCGTGCAGCCTGGCGCTGCTGAGGCCTTAGCCTCGATGCACTTGACGCGTGCGGTGGTGGTGCTCAACAGCTGTTGCTGTTGTTGCTGATGTGTGGCGGCAACACGAACAGCGGTTGTTAAGGCTGCAGCATCTTTCTGCTGAGTCTGACGCAGCTGTCTGCACTCGTGTATCTGCACTGTTAACATCGTATTGGTCCACATTACCGCCCGCATCACGTTCAACATCAGGTCAGCCAAGTTACTCCTTTCTTCCTCCGCCGGTGTCGGATCCGCCTGAGTATCCGAAGGCACAAAAAGCATGCCTTGGAGCAGTGTCGTCCAGTGACTCTCATTTCGAGTCAAGGACTCCATGATGATGGCGTTCCGTTTGTCTCGCACCTCGGCGTCAGCCTCAGCAGTCCGCTGAGCTTGGGCTGCCGCCTCACTGGCCAACCGCTGACGTTCCGCCTCTGCTGCCTCCTGCTGAAGGTGGACCGGACATGCGGGAAGAACCCCGGTGGTGACTGGTACTGTCGTAGCTGTACTTGATGCCGCTGGAGTCGTCCGCTTGCTGAGTCACTGTTGCTGATACTTAGACCGTGGAGGTACCACACAACGGCTACGAACTGCGAGCCTGGCACTGCGAGCCTGGCACTGCGTCGTGGCAATGCCTTGGTGTCCTGTTCCGTCGACATCAGCACAAGCTGGTGTGGTACTTTAGAAGTCCTAGTGGTCACAAATTTCGGGGAGGGTAGGGAGAGTGGGAACAGGGGTAGAATCAATCAAACAATTCGCATACAGTCCCTGTCCTAATGATGGACTTTCGACACCTAATCAAATAATGCAAGGAACATGAGTATGGACGAAGCACATAAATCCAGAATGCAAAATCACACTGAAGTCCAAGTATTCAAAGCCAAAGCAGATAGCACATGGAACCGAGTAACCATCCAATTGAGAATGATACAGAAGAATCGTGAGTCAATGTCCATGCCCAACAGGGCAACACCAACATCATAACCCAAATGTAGCTCTCTCATGTGAATGGCGCCAGGCGCCCTATCTACTCTACAACCTATCCTACAACTACAGCAATGAACAGCAACCA